AAATTATTTGGCTGGGGACATATCCAGAATGATAATATTCAGGGTCCCAAGAACCGCCCAAAGCGATTTGCACAGGAGGTAAACAATTCCCTCGTAACGCATAGGGTTGTCATCGCAGACCGCAACAACCACCAAAAGCGGGAAAGAAAGCAGATCATGGAGGATGTTCAGAGGGCTGTACCAAATGCTAAATTTGTTGCTCTCCATTATGTCCATGAACCTAAGGAAATGTTGCTGGGTGATATCAGGCAAGTTACTCAGGCAAGAGTTCTTGAACGAGGCGATAACCATCAGACCATCCAGGCCAACAGCAAAGGCCGGGACTCCGTAATTGCGATTATGGAAGGCTTCTTGAATCGATTCGAAGCCGTAAACATAGAATCTGACCCTGATTACGGCTTTGATGAAGTAATCGACTTAAACGTCATGGCCTCTACCCGTGAGAACCTGGAAAAAGTCATCTCCGTTCTACACTCCACGTTCCCTAAACTCATGAACGGCAAATTGCCAACTTCATCCGATCTAGACGACGCAATCGACGAAGTCATGAAGAACTACATAGTTGAGACAAAACACGACCTCAGCTTCTCAAACAAAAAGAGCTCGAAACGCTCTCAACAAAAGAACTCGAACCAACTCGCCAAACGCCTCGAATTAACTCGCCAAACGCCTCGAATACTTCAGAATATCCCTAAAGTCTACGAAATAACCACCTTCTTTCTTCACTATTCCCACCCTCCACCTTCCCGAGAAAGCAAAACTATATAACACCTCCGAAACTCTCGCGCATCCAACCCTCCTTCCACGTAACCCTAATCCACCGCGCCTCCCAACCGACCCAGCCAGCCATCTGGACCCATTACCAAGATCTCTACAAAGCGGCCATCCAAAAGCAACTCAACCAACCAAACGGTGATGTAGTCGAGACCCCAACCCTAGGCACCTGTCGTGTTCGAATCGAGCGTCTAGTGTGGGATGACAGGATCATGGCGTTTGTGGTGCGCATTTGCCCACAAGAGGGAGATTTGTGGCCTTGTGCGAATGATATCCCGCATATTACGGTTGGCACTGCTGCGCCTAACGTGAAGCCGAAGGAGAGCAATGATTTGCTGAAGCGTTGGTTGGAGGTTGGGGCTGGGGAAGAGACGGGGATTTGGGAGGCTGAGATAACTTCTGTTACGGTGTTGGAGGGGACTGTTGGAGAGGAATTGAGGAGGTGAAATTGGTTTGCGGATTTAAGAGGGCCGGCTGGGGAAATGGAGTTGAGGATAAGATCGGATGGGTGGTTTTTGTGATTATTTTTGTTCCATTAGAAAACTTCTTCCATTTTATCGTTGATCTCCTATGCCTAGCTGCGTTCCCATGAGACTGTATCCTATGTTTCGAGTTATTCATATCAAGATCTAAAGCCCGTGCTACATTTGAAATTGATGGTAAGTAGAAGGAATAAGATGAGATGAGACGTCGCGATTCCCTACCAAGATATGGGTGGATTGCGGTGACAGGAGAATGGTGTCAATCCACTCTTGCCTACATGCAAAGATATCAATGTTTTCCATTCTTAAAAATGATATCGATACTTGTTGTTGATGTATGTGTGTGTGTGTGTGTGTGTGTGTGTGTGTTTTTATTTAACGCCCGGTTAGTCCACGTGCCTTATGGGCACGTGATCTAGTAGAGTCCGCGTCGAACTATAGGGCGGGTAGAGCTGCGCCCATAGGCGACTACCTATCTAGTAGCTATCTTACAAATGAGGCAAAAGGGTTGCGTATTGCTGCACTGGCAGAGCCCATGGGTCAGTTGCCATAGAGCAGAGGTTTTGAGAGGTTTTAGGTTTGTGGGAGGGAGGTAGGGGAGGTGGATAGAAAGAAAGGCAAGGAAGGAAAGAAAGGGGAGGAAAGAGAGGAAGAAGAAGGAGATGGTGAGGAAGATGGGAGCAAGACAGAGGAGGGGATGGTCTGTGGGATCTGATCTGGAGGTGTGTGATGGCACATTGGACAGATATTCTGATAGAAGGCTGTTTCTCTTAGCCAGTTATTGAATTCTAGGGCCCCACGCGAGGTTGCCAGTGTCTCACAGAGATTGTAGATAGGCCGGCGCCGCTTTGCTGCTTTTCTTGCAAGAGTGCAATAGTAGAAATGTTCTGGGGTTTTGCTATGTCTGCACTGGCAGTAGCACTCTGCATCTTCATGCTTAAGGTGGCTGTGGTAGGCTGCAAAGTCTCCATGACCTGACCAGGCGGCATAGAGCTTTCCTAATGTGAAGTGTGAAAGTTTTACCTCTGTTGAGGCTCTCTTTAGTGGGATCTCCAGCTCCATATAGTGTTTGAGCTGATTTTTGGCCCAGTAGTTCTCAAAGGCCCGTGTGGTTTGTTCCATAGTGTGCTGCTTTATATAAGCTAGAGTGCCTATGCTGTCAGGTTGAGGTACCATGCTTGCACTTGCTGCCTGCGCTGCGGCTGCTTTGGCTTCAAGATCTGCCTTTTCATTACCAGCCACGCCTGCGTGGCCTGGGACCCATCTAATGACCACCCTGCTCTGAGTGGCCAATGGGAGCCTATCCCTGCTCTGCCAGGCCTTTATGGCTTTCAGAAACTGCGCGAAGACCTGCTGGCTAGAGGTGTTTGGCACAGATCAAAGGGCTCGTGCTACCTCCAAATTGTCTAGGCAAATGTAGACGTTGCTGGCAAACTTCGCCTGAGGCGAGACTTGTTGACGTACTGCGGTTGAGATTATCCATTTGATAGATGTCGGACACTTCCGGCACGTGACCTGCTTTCCATCATAGTCGTTCTCGTAGCATGCAAACTCTGCAATCAATCAAGCTTGCCATTCTGTCAGATAAGCGGTATTAGGTAGCTTCCATCCATCCATTGCTAAAGGAACTAAAAGAGATGACAAAAGGGAAAGTGATGATTTGAAAATGTATCAAAGTAGAGGGGAACTAAATTTAACATAGAACAAAACGCTTATCTAATAATAATCATACAGAATCTTCATGTGTTTTGCTCGAATGCTTAAAGAAACATCCAATAAAAATAGCCAAAAAAGAAATAGAAAAATCTTAAGTGGCAACAGCTAAGGTATATAACGATCATAATACAGTTTGCTGATCCCATCATGAAAGTAACCAGCAGACATAATTCGAAATATTGCTTATGCTAGTTCAAACAATCATGCAAATATAAAAATTCAAGGGGGTATTACGTCGATATTCGTTATGCTTCCTCTCTCACCATCCTTTAAATCTCCCCTAATCGTTCATCCAGGCCGTAACCCTGCCTCCCCCAACACGCGCAGCAAGTCTCAGGCCGGTGCTACCCATCGGAAAATAGCTAACGAGATACCAGACAAGCGCAACAAGTTGGAAGATGGAGGATATCAGAGTTAGGATTGTAGAATGGAGCTGTTCGGTGACGTCAGAAAAAAAGTTAGTCGGATGACTTTGTAAGGAATGATTTCAGACAGGTTTCGGAGACGGGGGGATTAAAATAGAAAATGTTGAAGATATGTTTAGAAAAACAGGGTATGGATTTGCTTAGCAACCTGTTATGGTTTCTGATATGATTACCACGGTGGAGCTTGCGGTGAAGAAATTAGTGCAAAATGGGGGGGGAGGGGGGAAGAGAGACAAATGTAACATGTCCAATTCAAAACTGCGAAGCACGCACGAGCCACACTCGAGGGTGGAATAGAGATAATAGTGGGAAGGACTGAATGAGGTATTTCTTTTTTCTTTTTCTTTTTTTGCGAATAAGAGGAAATTGGATAATATGCAAATGCGGACGCTATGAAATGATTCCAAATGGGGAAATATATGCATGAAAGTCCGGAGTATGGAAACAAAAGGGTAAACTTACTCCGAGAGCAGAGTATAAAGTTAAGGCAATGGATATAAAATATGCGGCTGTGAAAGGGAGGCGAGTCCCCGACACTAAATGCCTGGCATACTGCATGGCCCCCATTAGGACGGCCCAGGCGGTAAGAAAGAGTATGGATCCGACGGACCACCTTTAAAAGAAATGTTAGCTATCAAAAATGTGAGCCATCTTGAATCCCAACAGAATGACGTCTGAGCTTGATGTTTTAACTTGGCATTTCAACAAGAAGTGGTAAAATGTCGGAGGGTAGGATAAATGTGCCGACGATGGTATGCTGGCGTGCAGAGAATGAAATGAAGAAAGGGACTGGTCCACAATAAGCCGAAGCCGATATTGGCAGCGATTCGAGTCATTCAAGCCCCGATGCATTGCATCTGGGCCTTGTCCGTGTGTGGTGTGCGGGCAAAAAGAAAAAAAAAAAAGGACATACGTCATAGCATAAAAGGTTCAACGCAGAATCAGACAGGGAGTAGAACTTACAGGACAGCAAATTTTCTAGGTCTGAATATCAAAGGGAATAAAATTAGTCCTATGCAAATTCCAAAACACACCAGAGACCCAATCATGCAGCCGGCAAATATCAACATTCGGTCCCATCGAGTTACTGCGCAACGAGACAGAAACGTTAGCGTTTTGAACACCGCGAATGGGAAGCTGAGAACAATACACTGCCATTGCATTTGGAGTCCTGACAAAATCACCCTACGGCAGAGGTTCATGTGAGACCGCGCGGACGCAGGAACTGAGGTGTGTCACTTGCACCCTGGCCATAGAGATGACATGAAATCGACTGTACGGTCTTAATGAAGAATAAGTCATGGGACTCACAAGCAAACCATGCCTCCTCTTCCTCTCGCCTCGTTGGGAGCGGTAATGGTGCTCCAGGACCATCTTGAGCAGGAAGCTGAACATAACCGCGGTCCGCAAAAGGGTTAAGTGATTGAAGTGACGAGAATATCGAGTTCGAGGATTGGTTTGTAGGTGCGGTTTCTGGCTCCCTCCTAGCCCAACCCAAGGAATTCATCGAGTCACGAAACGAAGCGGATGCCATCTTCTACAACAGCTGTGAGAAATGCTTGCTAGCGTTTATTTACTTTTTCAGTCGTTTTTGCTGCCCAAGCTTCTTTTTGAAATTTTCCAGCCTCGCTCAAAACTAGATGCACGACGTCGTCTAACGAAACAGCTAGCTATCGGCTCGCTTCCTCCCGAGAGATCTGCATTCCAAACCAGGCCAGAACTGATAGGTGTCCTTCAACGCAACTGAACTATCTAGCTATGCATGAATATATGTAAATATCTCGCGCAGATAATATACAGCTAAAGAAAAACGTGGTGGTGGGTAAACTGCTGGTCAGATGGTCAGTATTCATTGGACAACCTCTTGTAGAAGTGTCTGCAGAGTACCTGGGATGCGGGGAGGACGGGGAGGAATGTCGAGATCCCAGAAGTACACCATGTCATTTTCATTCAAGTGCACGAGATATGATGTAATTGTGCAGACTGACCTTGTGTGTCTGCTGGTGTCCTAGCCAGCAGGAGAATTAATAACGCGCAGTAACAAGTAACAAAGGTTGCTGACGGTGGGAGCAAATGAAGTGGTGGTCCGGTATGCTGGGATGGAGAGATCACCGCAAGGATACGAAGGTAGCAGCGGTAATATCTGGGGATGCTGGTCAAAGACTGTGAATATCTAAACAACCATGAGTTAGCTCGGGGTCAACATCGACTGAGGTTTGGGGTCAGATGATCATTCTAAGGGTGGTGTTGCTTCTGGCGGAGGAGCAAATGACTTGGCCGGGATGCACAAACCTTGGGAGTTTCCCTCTTTGAGGGTAGCTACCAAAAAGACCCTAATAGAATCGTTTACTTGGATGGCATAGGTTTTTTTTTTACCAGGACGGATATGTAGCTGAAGAATGGTGTCTGACCGAAGCACTTGAGCAATTAACTGCCAACAGCGAAAGTTGAGGTTGAATCTGACGTTTGAGGTTGGCGCGAGATGCGGCTCCGTGGAATGGTTTGAGGCTGGTGGTTGCTTAGTCACACATAGTAGGGCCTCTAAGTTTAGGTTTGCAGCCACAGCCCCGGTTTAGTTAAGTTTGTTGGATTATTTTGGGGAACAATCAACTAATTGTTACGGTCCAAAACGCTCTTCGTCTGCCAGTCCATTGCAGACATGATTATAGTTCGCATGGTTTAGTTAGAGCTTTAGACCTCAGACTCACTGAATCGATTATTCTGATCGGTAAACATCAGAAGTTGAAATCTAGCACCTCATTCGTCCTCGGTGATCGAAAGGATTTTCTAATTCCTTGACCTTTGATAAGAACTTGGTACCCATTCAGAGAACGATTTCCGGCTTTCGCCAATGCTCCTCCAACCCCGGAAATCTAGCATTGACCTTCATTCTAACCCAATAGCCTATAAGCGAGCTCTGCTTCCCGAAGGTTTTCAAGTTGCTGATTCGAGCCTTGCTGACGGGAGTTGCCTTGGTTCTACCCAGGCATGTGGTAACGAAAATCAACGGATGCTGCTTCCACTGGAAACTTTTGCGGCGTCGCTTCAAATTTGTCGAATCACCAGCCAGGATGAACTACACACCCCGGACTAGCTCGTCGACAACCGATGGCATGCGTAGTGATATGTCATTGCTTCCTTCGTGCGCAACTGAGACACGGTCGCTGCTCTGAACCTATCGACAGACCGGCATTAATAAAGAGAACATTTTGCCACATAGTTATAGACTTTTATGTCCTACCCATATCCCAACTAACAGTCAAGACATTGGTAGCGGATAAACGCGTCCGTTGTACCAGTTCCTGACAAAAAACTTTGACGAGAGAACCAAAACGACAAGCGTATATTCACCCTTGCGCCCCATACAAAAATTACGTTCAAGGATCATGGCACTTACGAATCTTGTTTTAGCTTCCCATCACAATTCGAAGACCGGGATGCCGTACGCACTTCTGATTGTTGTGGGTATTCCTTGATATGTGAATTGACGGGCCCTTGTATGACGTGAAAACAGGGATCTTCTCATTTGGTTGGCACTCATCCAGAACGTAATTCAATAGTGGCAACCCAGCTGAACCTTCATGAATTAAAGAGTGAAGAAAATGTGAATAGATGAATGCCAAAAGAGGTGATGGCATATTTTGTTCTTGAGCCAATTCAAACCAAGTTTGATCATACATGAAAGGTATTAAGTTGCTTGTTTAGAAGCATTTCAAGAATGGTTATTTCAACAACTCAGAACACCCTGCAATAATACCCTCCCCATATCCACCGCCATTCCTCTAAGTTGCCGCACGGGAACTCCGTATCCTTCCCGAAAATGTCCAAGCTTGCGGTCTTGCACACTGGAGCATGGAGATATTTTGGAGTAAAACCTGCCCACTTTGAAGTTCTAGTTCTTGGAATAACAAAATCAACATATCTCTGGCATTTTCTGCGTCTTTGCTCTATATCAGTCTAGATTTGACACGCCATTCATATGGGGAAAGTCCTGCTTGGCAAGAGGGTTTCCAGATTTCGCAATATGTGTGGTTCAACGTTGACGATCCGGAACTCTAGATTGGGGTGGTTGGATGGGAGAGGGTTGTTGGTAATTTTGGCCTAGTTCATCGATCCGGATACGAGATGCCTAGCGTATCTTGACCCGCTTGTTCCGCTTTCTGGAGGGCGCTCTCCGAGACCTCTTGCGCGGCCAGGTGACAACTTCGATACCTCCACTCAGAGAGACTTAAGAGGGTCTATTTAAGTATCCATCTAGGTGCTGGTAGATCTAACTTCTTGTCATGCTCGCGACATCCTTAAGTGTCTGTATTTTCTAGAATGCAAGCTGTCCAAGTCCAAGATGCATGTCAGTTCTGCAAATGCTGCCTTCTTCACCTTTTGATCTTGCTTCTGGATCTAACTCGTGCAGTTCCAGTCCGTCGATCATTTTAAGGCATGCTGCATTTCAACAGGAGCTTGCAGATTAACTGCCAGGTGTAGACTGATATCAGATTAGCTGCCAAGTTATTCTTGTTCATTTTGATAGAAAAAAAGACTAGTTATCCTGTCCTACTTTTAATCTTACTTTAACATTGAACGTCCCAATATGCCTTCTGTATTCACCGTGTATGCCTAAGTAAAAGGTTGATGAAAACCCGCCTAGGTAGAGGGACTCACTCGCCCGCTGGTCAGGAAATGTATCTCCTTCTCCCTGCTCTCCTTACGCCCATGCACCCCTTGAACACGCCTGAATCAACCCCACCACCAAAATTCACAAGCCAAATGCTATTTTCACTTTTACCCTGCGCCCCCTTGACGTTTATTCCCCAAGTCAGTTGCTGGATGGTATTGTGGGCTTCATGATACTTACTCACACCCCCCTTCTTCCACCCCTTTTATATCAAGAGATATGAAATTAGTCACATTGCCTAGACTAGATTGCGACAGCTGACGATGATTGACACCGGTGATCTTGGTTGCCTGCCTACCTGTCTTGTGCATGGGGCTTGATCTTCTTGTCTCTTCCCTTCCTGCTTCACACCATCTGTCTATGGTTTTCTCCACCCATTCTTCCACCTGCCTCGCTACTTTCGGTGCAGCCACAGCCCTTTGCCCAGATTTATAGTAAAAATCGGCATACCAAAAACCTGATTTTCTGACTGCTAGTTGACTGGTTCAGCCACGAAAACCCGAGTGTGGGCGTGCGCGTCAAGCATCGTAATTGGTGTTATACCTTCCTGCCAACCTAATCAACTAAACGGAAACATTTGTAAAAAGAACGGCGAGAGAGATATTTATATAGACTCCGGATGAACAAAAGTAGACAGAAGGATGAGAAGGAAAAAGCAAGCTAGTTTCAGAAAGCAAACCTCGTGGATATCTAATGATCGACGCCTTGCATGACCAGCGCCGTCTATATATCAAATGAGAGTTGCAGGACAAGCCCCCGCTGGTCATAAATGTGTTGCCGCGCCCCCCCTTTCCCCCTTAATTCTCTCCTGTTCGTTGCTTCCCTTGCCTCGTCTTATTCTGTCGAAACTTGCCCTTGCTTCTGATGAATCGGTCTTCTCCCCGTGTCCCCAGTGTACGGTATCGTTTGTCTCGCTGCTTCAGTGACATCCCATTTTATCTTCGATTATCATACCATTCTGCAGCCTATCTCTATCCTCTCCTGTCTTCATCATCACCTTTTATTTATCGTTTTCACTTAGCTCAGCCAGCGCATCTGGCTTCCTTCCTCTGCAGCATATTTGATATATGAATTGTGTTACAACATCGCACTCGACCAACCAAGTCAAGCAGTAGTTCATTCTTTCGTCGCGGTCGACATATGGAACATCAAGCCCTTGCCAATCAACGGGCGTAGGTATAACATACTCTCCAGCGGCTGCTGACTGGACGCCGATCCACTTCGACTTATCCGCGTCGCTCTCTCGTGTGGTGTTTCATAGACACCCGATAACCCAACTAGAGTATTTATCTGAAAAGCGCTCGAGTTACGCCAACAGCGCAAAAGAGTTCGGAGTCTGTCTTTTTGTGTTGCTTATCCCTTAGGCATTGCATTGCATTTGCACATTGGGCGCAAGCGACTTGCATCTTGTCGTACGGGTACATCCACAGGCGGTAACGCAACCCCGCAGTTAGATTGTTACATGGCTAGCCGTTAGATCGTCAAGATACGCTATTGATCGATCGATGATTAGTCGAGTTTAACACGGAGTAAGTGAACCCGTCTTTAGTTGATATCTCTGTTTTGAGTTTTCCCTTTCCCTTCTTTGTTTCCTTTTTGTTTATTTATTTCAAAATGAATAAAATAAACACACTTCACCCAGCACCATCATTGTCATTTTGAGGCAGCCCATTTTATTGAGTGGTTAGATTTTGTGTTTTGTTGTCCTTGTTGGTTATTTGTTGTTATCATTCATTCCACCCCGCCAGCCCCCTCACCCACACTACCATACCCCTCAGCAATCTGGCGAATGAAGCCATCATTCATTGCCCCTTCGTGAGATTTGCTTCTCCAGCTTTTTGGTCTCCACTCCAACGCTTCAGCTGCTGTTTGATGAGATGGATCCCGTCTCGCGGTTTTCGCTACTTATTTAGCGGCAACCAGAGCAGCCCAAGCAAGTTGGCGAAGCGAATCGTCTTAGCGCTCTTGCAATCATGGACTGCTATTTGACAGAGTTCCCCCGCCCCCGCTCCCTTATCTCAAGGCTTGAGCAACCAAGGAAAAAAACGAAACTTCTTGGTTGACTTTGAGAAGTGAGAGAGGAAGCAGAAGAGGACTGGACATCTGGCTAAGCAGATGGTGGTGTTGAGCTGCAATAATCCTTTTGATGCGAGATCTATAAAATACACAACACCCAGGTTAGTTTGGCGGGGACAAGGCGAGCAATACCACTCATACCTGGTACCGCACTAAAGCGGGAGGGTGGTGTATGGTACTGTACCGAACCCCACCCCCGTATCCGAGCTACTGTGTAATCTCCACGCCGATTGCCTCCAAGGGCTGTTGCCAGCGTGGTATTGGGCGTATTTTTGTTTTTCTCCTCGCTGGTTTTCTATTTTCCGCCTACCACTTCAATCTTCCCCACGGCGTCTTCCATCTCTCCACGACAGTTATATACCATCACGCTGTCACCACCTCTACTCTCATTTCATTTCTTCCCTCTACTGCCAAGCATTACACTCCTGCACTTCCTGTTTATTCCCATTTGCGCATACTGCCCTCTCTTACTGCCTCGTTTCTGCCTTCTCCAAAGCGCGCCCTCATTTTTGCCCCAAGGCTGTGACTCCTCGATCGATGTCTCACAATCTTGAACAGCCATGAAATCCACAAACACACAACATAGATATATCTGATTTTGATACAGTCTTTCCCTGTTCCAGTCCTCCCTTTGATCCTTTAAAGTCGGCCAATTGCTTAAAATATAAACCTCCGCAACTCGAACCCTCCCATCATTCTCAAGAGCCTTGTTCTTCGGGATCGACTTTTCTCCTGTATCTACCCGTTGTAGAACACGGAAATCGCTATAAACTGTTCCAAGTGGACTTACTGATCCAAGTGGACTTACTGACTCACAGCGTTTACGATTATCTTTTATCCCTGCGTGCTAGGAATAGTCTACGCTGTCTTGGCGAAAAAGGTATGGGGTTCCCCTTCACCCGATATATTATTAATATAGAGGCTAGGAGAATATATATTAGTCCAATTGCATGACGACACACCTTTTTCCCCCCCAAACCATTTGATATTCCCTTTTCAAAGTCATACGGGGTTGACTGACTGACTGACTGCAATGTATGTCTGTAGATTTCTCCCTCGATCTTTAAAACATTTCCTGTCTCTTGAAAGTTGCTGTCTAAAAGTCCCGCTTTGCGGGTTCAAGTTATTGTTTTCCTTGCTGGTTTCCAAGATTAGCATCAGTTTTCCACGTCACAACAAACTGTCATCTTGCTGCCACAACAAGTATGGCTGAAACTACTGCCTTTATCAAACACGAGCCAGACGATCAGCCTAGCAACCCGCATCAATATTTGATGTCCTCAACATTTGGAATGCCTAGTCCCTCCTTCGGATCTAATTTCGGAAATCCTGGGGGGAACGAGGGTATTGATCCTTCAGAACTCTCAATGCAGAATGGCGGGTTCATGTCCTACCCGTTCAGTTCACAACACAATTTATCCTCGAGTTTCAACCTTGGGAATTCAAGCATCGATACGGCAGAGCTTCTGGATTTGGATCTCAATGGGCAAGGCGGCGTCGGTCGTGATAACAGCCTGAGCTTTGTCCAAGACCCACAACGCCATCCTACAGGCATCTCCATGAGCCACCAGGGACAAATGACTAATGTCTACTCAAGCACCCCTGAAGGAGCACCAATCCAAAGCCCATATGTCCGCAACAACTTCAACTACGAACAGTTTCGAGTAAGCCACGGTCAACAAGCTACGTCGCCTCATGTGAGCCTGAACACTCATTTCGACCAACACTACGCCAATGGACGGCCAAGTTTCCAAGGTATTGACCGAAATTCTACTGATGCACGAAGTCCAATGACACCAAAAACACCTGCCATCGCAGGGCTTAATATCGGGACCCCGGAATCTGGCAGTTTCCCTTCCCAACCAATGCGGGTAGTGAGTCTCCAGAATCGACACCAGAAAACTTTGTCCAATCAATGGGACGGTACCCCTGGCAGCGCTCAGTCTTTGATCGAATCTCCCATTTCATCCCCAGGTCACCTATCTCACCATACGGGAATATCGGAAATATTGAAATCTGGAAAGCATGCTTCGTTGCCTGCCAAGGTCGATTCCGTACATGGACATCATCAAAATAGTTCCCAAACACTGGAATCACAGGAGGCCAAGAGAAGACGTCGACGGGCTTCGCATAATATGGTGGAGCGTCGGAGACGTGATAACATCAATGAACGGATACAGGACCTTTCCCACCTTGTCCCTCAACACCGTTTGGAAGATGACAAGATTCGAAAGCAACTTGTCAATAACTCAGCGCTGGCTACTTCTACTGGCGGATCTGGCTTGAGTCCCCCAAATGCTGCAACATCGCTGCTTGCTGGAGGAAGTGGTCGCCGAGCTACGCCAGGAAATATCACTATGGGTCTTCCCATCGAAGAAAAGGAGAAGGGCCCCAACAAAGGCGACATTTTAAATGGTGCTGTTGGCTGGACGAGAGATCTAATGTGGGCAATGCACGTCAAACTACAACAGGAAGATGAGCTAGCCGAGTTGATTGCATCGCTTGGCGGTACCTGGCCATTCGAGCAGACTGAAGAGGAGAAGCGTATGCGCACAGAGCTAATTGATGCCATGGAGAAGAACGATCCGAATACCTTCTTCTACAGTCGAGCTCCAGGAAGTGGTCTCCGCGTCCCCAAACACACCAACATTGCCGGAGAGGCCCTTCCGCAACAGAATCAAACCGATACCTTGAGTCCGCAGAGCCTTAGTCCCGGCTTTCACAGTGGCGGGAGCGGAAACAATAGTGGTGGAACCCATCCACAGTACTGGAATAGCTCTGGCCATGCTGGAATGAGTTTCAAAGAGGAAGACGAATACTCTATGGAAATGAACTAGGACAAATGACATGCACGATTATTACCTTTTTGCCTTGATTCAATTAACTCTCTCTTTCGATCAATTGCGTCGCTGGCGTTTGCCCATGGATGGATGGGAGAAGTCTTCGGGCTGTGGGGCGTTTTATGGACGGACCCGGTAGCATCTGAGGCGGTTTTGTTTTTCTTTCCTAATCATCTTTTGCATGTCGCTTAAATCTATAATTCTCGCTAATGGTTTTTCTTTTTCTTTTTTTTTTTTTTTTTTTTGAATTTTCATTTCAATTTTTTGTCGATTTTATATGCACATTCTT